GTCAGCACACCCTGTAACACCGCCCCGGGTTCTTTACCAGCGTGCATGCTAGCCGGTGACATCGACAAGATCACGTGCAATGCGCATTGAGCCTTGTAACCTTGAATAGTGACCAGGAGCCCAAATGAGCGTAGGCTCAGGCACGGTCCTTGATTGGCTGCCCCTAGTCCTGACAGCGAATCACATGCTGCACGATCAAATGAGGCCCGCGAAAATGGCTGCGCGTCAAAGTACAGGGTACCTGGGCCATCTGGATAGGAATTTTCCCCTTTTGACCATCTCAACAACTTTTCGCATTGCTGCTGCCACCGATCCTCCCGTCCTTTCTCTCCCTCCTCATAAACTAAGTTGTGTGCCCGTGGCGTTTGAAAGTAACTTGTTGTCTGACCACCTCCCTCCCTCCCTCTCTTCCTCAACCTCCAGACTTGTCTGTGCCCGGGTGTCCTCTGGCGGGTAAAGTGTTTGCTGCAACTTGCCTTTTTTTTTCCTTTCTCGTTGCTTTTCGTCCCTCCTTAGGCTCTGCTGCCTCTGCTGCCGCGCCGCGTGCATACTGAACGTCCGCATCTTCCGCGTCGAGTCCACCAGGGCAACCCGCGGCGAGACCCACGGTTATAAATCTTCTTAGGGAGATCATCCGGATTCTCGACTTCAACCCATCGAGCTCGAAGGAAGAAAAGAAAAAACAGCTATCAAGATGGCGACCCAAGCCCCCTCGTCGTTTTACGAGCAATTGCCTCTCCCCACGCTCGACCGCCCCTTTGGTGTTCACCTATGGCCTCTGCTTGATAAGGTTTGGACTCCTATCGTGGGTTACCCCGTGAGCGAGTTCAAATTCGTCCCCGGTGTCACGCCTATGTCCACCATCAAGCAGGCCGGCATTTTCGTCGTCATCTACTACACCATCATCTTTGGCGGTCGCGAGTGGATGCGCAACCGTGAGCCCTACAAGCTCAAAGGTCTCTTCCTCGCCCACAACCTTTTCCTCACCCTCATCAGCGCCGGTCTTCTCGCCCTCTACATCGAGGAGCTCCTGCCGACTGTCGTGCGTAAAGGCATCTTCCATGCCATCTGCCACGCTGAAGGCGGTTGGACTCAGCCTCTTGTTGTCCTCTACTACGTGAGTTCATTGTTCTGCGTACTTGTTTTTCTTTTCTTTCCAGCAGCTGACCACCCCAGATGACATACCTCACCAAGTACCTCGAGTTGCTGGACACCGTCTTCCTCTTCCTCAAGAAGAAGCCCCTGAGTATGACCATCGAGACCTCAGCCTTGCGAGACCAAGCGCTAACAAACAACTCGTAGCTTTCCTCCACTGCTACCACCACGGCGCGACCGCTCTCCTCTGCTACACCCAGCTGATTGGCTCCACCGCCGTCTCGTGGGTTCCCATTACTCTCAACCTCGGCGTTCACGTCGTCATGTACTGGTACTACTTCCAGAGCGCGCGCGGTGTCCGCATCTGGTGGAAGGAGTGGGTCACTCGTTTCCAGATCATCCAGTTCATCATCGATCTTGGTAGGTCTCAATTGATATTCGCCGGCCCACAGCCACGCGCTGACATTCGCAGGTTTCGTTTACTTCGCGTCCTACACATACTTCACCTCGACCTACTTCCCCTGGATGCCCAACGCAGGCGAGTGTGCTGGTGAGGAGTTTGCTGCTTTCGCTGGTATCGGCATCATCAGCTCCTACCTCGTCCTCTTCATCTCCTTCTACCTTGCGACCTACAAGAAGGGCGGCAAGTCGCAGACCCGCAAGTCTCTCCGCCGCATGAGCCAGGCTCCCCTCCCCGACCCCCACCACGTTGCCTCGGCCGTCACCGGCAGCGCCAAAGCCAGCGGAGCCAAGACCAACGGTTCTACGCCCCGTTCCCGCAAGGCTTAAGACGCTGGCATCTCGGATGCCGTCCACAGTGTGGAATGTATATACGCGGACGACCGTACAAGAATTTGGAGGTCTCTGTGCCTAATATCTTGACGGATTACACCTTTGGATGTGGAGAAAAATCATTCTTGGCTTGGCGGATTGCCCTGGCCGCGCAACGACCACCATCTGCGGCGCGGCCTCTTTTTTTCACAACTGTGTATTACTGCATCGTTCCCGCACAACCGGTGAGGGACGCTTTGAAACCAAAAAAAAGAGCCTGCTGTGGTGAGCAGCGGGCTCACTGTTGGACGTGTATGACGACCTGGGAGGCTGATGACGTTTGCATGTTTGTGTGCCTTTGGCGAACGGGTTGGCTTCGGTCGGTGGGCATCATTTGCGAGGGACGAAACGATCGCCGAGTGGGCAGCAAGGGCCACGCTCCCACCTGGACGAAAACAACCTTAGAACATTTGTAATTTTCCTTGTGTTTCTTGTGTCATAGATGAAGCCGTAGCCGCCTCGGGTTGGAGGCTGGCGCTACTTGATACTAATACTCTTTCATTACGATGCAGCCGACCTTCTCTGGCGGGTGACAGACAATTCAACGGGGTCACATGTATCTTGCTCGAGGCCCATGGTCAGGCTTGATCTTTCGGCTGTCCCTAATGGTATGTTGCTGCATTTTTTATACACCCCTTCCCCGTCCCAAATGATGAGCAACTCGCGTTATACCCAGCTCACTCAGACGCACAATCTGTGCGGGTGCTGAGAACACGTTTGATCACGTCTGATTCATTGGGAAATTCATATTCCTCTAAAAAGAAGTCATTGGACCGGTCAAGATGACTAACGATGTTCAGATGTTTGTTGGACTCGACGATGCTCGATGCCCGAAGGAGGAGAACAAATAAGTAGAAGAATATTATGACTCTGGACATACAGCTATATAGCCTTTGTTTGTCCACACCAGGCCGATAGTGATTTGCTGGGTTTTGTTGGCCATGAGACGAGACGGCCCCTCAACTCAGGTCTCCAGTTCCAGGACAGGGCGGAGGGCAAGACGACCAGACACGCCCGAGTGTGCTGCCTCCTGTGCCCGCTCTATGCGCCATCCTGCCGCATCCACGATAGCATTGCCAGTTTATCCTTCCTTGTGTGGTGCTGAGCTCGAGACTCGGCTGTCACCCGTGTTCGTTGCAATGTTGTTCCAGGGGTGTTCTCTTCCAAGGACATTCACATCATTGTCTTCCGATGCTTACTGCCCAATATTCAAATGCTAGGTCTTTGTGCTGTTCATCAACCCCTTCGCTCTAACGGTATTCGTTCCGCAAATCAGCCTCTCAATGCATTCTCTATCCAAACTTGCTTCTTGTCCCCGCTTGCCCTGCTCGACCCATGTTGGGGATCCCAGCTCCCGGACCGATGGGATCTACACGCGAGCCCTCGCCCAGCCTCGCCGACAGCCACCGCTCTCAGTGGGACGTATGAGGGCCGCCATGTTGCTGGGTTTGCCCAGGATCTCTTTCTCGGTATCCCCTACGCTAACGAGCCCCGTCTTCGGAATTCCGAACCCCGGGCGATTCGTAGGCAGGTGTTCGCGATGCCACGCGCTATACCGTCGCCTGCTATGCCGACTACTATCCGGGAACTCTCGAGGCTGTCGGGGCAACCGTGGGTGAGGACAGCCTAAACCTGAACGCGATCCGGCCTGTCGGCGCGACGTCGTCCTCGAAGCTCCCCGTTGCGGCCCGGATGCATGATGGCGGCTTCGTCGTCGGCTACGGCGGCGACAACGACGAAGGCAGCAGCCGGCTCGCTTGACACCTCCTTGGAAACCGAGGCCGACGCCGTGTACTTCTTCAGTCTCCCGTGCGCAACTTGTCGTCGCACCTGACGCTTTCGAGGAGCATTGTCGACAAGTCGATTGCGTAACTCGCCACGGGCGACCACAACCCGTTTCCAGTCATATTGAGTGTGGAGATGGCGTGGAAGACGGAGGCTGCTGTAGAGCTCGGCGTCAACACTAGCCGGCGTCCTTGATGGGTTGTTTTAGAGGCCGTATAACGCGATCCGCAGCTTGAGTCGCCGCCTCCCACGTATCTTGTTGAGTTGCGGCCGTACTCGGCCACAACGTTCACACAGGGGTTTACAGGGTATACAGCCAGTCAAATAACACAACAGACTGACAAACTTGCCCCTGATTATAGCAATGCCGAAATCTGCAAACCTGTGATTCAGGCGTCTTCTTGGGCGTCTCTTACTTACATCCTGGATGCAAATTTTGCCTGCCATGAGCCTTTCATTAGGATGTTTCTCATACTCATTCATGAATGTTAGAGTCAGTTGTGCTGGAGGGGCACGAAATAGGCAGGAAGAAAGTCTCTCAAACGGCATCTCGTATTCGTTTTGTGGCCCACCTCGACGGCGAAGGCCCTCACAATACTTATTACATACTCTATCCCCTCCGCTGCACAATCTCGAGCCATCTAAAGGCCGCCGTCTCCACTCCCTTTGGTAGGGCTAGTCTTTTGAGAGAAAAAGAAAAAGAAAAAAAAGTGGTCAAAGTAATAGACACGCGTAGGTGAGTTACTTGTTACATGGTGGCGGTCTCTTTCTTTCTTGTATCAGGTCTTCAGCCTCCTGCTTTCAGAGGGACCCTCTAGGAATAAACAACAACTAGGTGGTTGGTTGGTTTAGTAATGTCAGGGGAAAAAAACAACCAAAAAAAGGAAAATGAGGCTGGAAAAGCAAGTTTTGCTGCCCAAAAATATCTCTCCGGGACAGTTTCGCAGCGGCCGTTACGCCCAGAAACAAGACGGTGGCCTCCTCTCATCATCCATTCCCAAGCTCTCATTGCGAGAAAACTCACGGGATCAGGCTAGTCGAGGAGGGCCCGCCAACTATGGTCCCAAAATGCATCTTATCCCGCCTCCAACCAAACCGCCCTATCCCTACCAATCTTGAGAAGAAAAGCTTAAGAGATGTGCAACGCCGTTTGCAATCAAGAAGGGAGAGAGAAAAATGTGTGTGATGTGGTGTGTGCACAGTTACCAAACTAGTGACACTAGAAGCGCTGGAATCGGGCCCTTGCGGCCATGTTGATGACAAATGAAAAAGGAACGAGTCGAATTATTTTGGGGCTCAGCTGCGCCCGGAAAACAGAGCTGTGTGGTGCTCTTTTGCAGTCCGACTGTCGCGCACCCGAGGCTTTGTGCAGTGACTACTGCCGACCGATGCCGGACGAGGGAACTCCAGTAACTCAGCCGATGAGATCGGCTGGATATCGAACGTCGTAAGTACGTAATGGGTCATGATCCATTATATATGGGCGACAGTCAAGTGAGATACGGTTGACGCGAAAGCGTCGCCTCAAGAAGCCAACACGGGCTGACCGGCAGGGATTGACGGACAGGGCTCAGCAGGACTGATACAGCAGTAGAGGCTCTCCCACGTTTTCGATTTCGGGAATCGTGCACTTCAGGTCGAATGCCTTGGACAGCACAATCTTGAAGATCTGCGAAGGGGTCAGTCTTGGGCCACGGAATACTAGTTGGAGACTCACCTTTTGCACGTTGATGCTATGGCTCGTGCTAGAGAAGATCAACGCAGCGCGCATTGCCTTTGCGAAACGACGGGCCTAACGTTGTCAGTTACCGAAGAATATCAGCAGACTTTCTACATACCTGGTTCGAGATTTCCTCTTGGTCCTCCCTTGGGAAGTTGACAAAGTGGTCGTACTTGGTGCCCACAAGAATGGGGATGGCAGTCTTGTTGAAGCCCCTGCCTTGCCGGTACCATTCCTTGATGCTATTGAGCGTGCTCTTCCGTGTTAGGTCGAACATGAAGAGGATGGCAACGGCATCGTTGCAGACCAGGGGGAGCATGTTGACGAACTCGCGCTGGCCGCCCAAATCCCAGATTGAAAATGTGATCTCAGTATTTCGGATGGAAATGGTCTTCTCCATGAAGTTGACGCCCAGTGTCTGGATGTAGTCCTCGTCCCAGCTTCCCTCAACATACTTGACCATCAGACTCGTCTTGCCGATTTGCGCATCTCCCACCATGCCAACCTTGATGACGACGTGGTTGCGGCCGTTGCTGGCGGCGGCCTCCGCGCCGGCGCTGCTGCGCGAGGCATGGTCGGCGTAGCCTTGTTGCGCGCCTGCGCCGGATAGACCGGAGGCAGGCCTTGAGATAGAGGGGGCGTTCATAGGCAGAGGCGGTGTGTTGTAGCGATCCGCTTGTTGCTCTTCCATCCGCGGGGATTGTGGGAGGCCCTGGTCGAGGGACTGACTGGGTTGGTGGCGTTGCTTCTCGGAGTAGTCATAGCCATTATTCTGGATAACCTGCGGAGAGGCATCGAAACCACCGAGGGCGTCGTCGGGGTGCGGCGGGGCGGCACCGTGATCGTGCTCCATGTCGTCGACGGCGTCGTGGACCTGGGCCGGGGACCCCGCGGATAGTGTTGAGGAATCCAGCGTGGAGGTTCGGGGGTGGGGGACGGGAGGCTCTGTCTTGAGCGAGGGGACGAGGAGATGATGATGTTCGACGCAGCCCTTCTGGAAGAGAAGAGGAGAACCGGCAGTTGGCGCCGAGCTAGAGGATGACAGCGAAGGTCGGGGAGTAGGCGGCAGGTTTCAGTTCGGGCCCGACGATGGCTTCATGGGCACTGCCAAGGGTGGCGCGGCGATCGATCGGGAGCAGAGGGCTGAGTCGAACCCCAGCTGCTGAAGTTGAAATCTGTTGCCGATTAGGACTGGCGACGTCGACGCGGCTCACAGGAGGTGAATCGTGAGGCAGGACAGGAATGAGTGTTAGGCAAAGGTGTCTCACCTAGCCTGTCCACAAACGAAAGCAGAGGGGGAGAGAGGGACAGAAATGCGTGGGGTGGTGCGTCCAGACAGTACAGCGCGGAAACAAGAGACGGGATTGGACGCCGGGCTGAAGCAGGGGGTAGGGCACCTCGAGCTGGAATCGAACGGAGCAATGAGAAGAAAGGGATTGTGTTGGATGTAATTAATAAACGTACCGCTAGTAGAGTAAGGTAGGGTGGCAGTCGTTTACTGGACCAGGTAGACAGTTGTCAAGGCTGAGCCAGACAATGACGAGGACGACGTTTATGTGCCTTGGTTGCAAAGTGAGCAAAGCAAGCAAAGTCTAGACTGAAGAGAGGTGATGAGAAGCCAGGCGATCGTCCGTAGACGGTACAATAGAGCGAGGCGAGGCGAAGCGGGAGGACGGTGAGGTATCGACGGGGTGCGATGTCGATGAGATGCGGCGGTGCGGTGCGCAGTGGCAGAACTCAGTGACGGTCATGGAATGTACCGAAGCGGGCCAAGGCAAAACGGGGGGGATGGGGATGGGTTGGCGGAGATGGAGTCAAGCAGCGTGGGTGTCAATGTCAAGCGACAAGTCAGACGAGTTGTGAATGATGTGCAAGGGCAGTGGAATGGATACTGGATGGATAAGACGGGGATGAGGAGATGCTTGTGCGACGGTGTGCTATGCTGGTTGCTATGTTCTGGTGCAGGACGAGAGGGGGAACGGACTAGGAGGGGCCGCTCCCCATCCCTCGGTGCACCTGTACAACATCAGTGCAGCGCAGTGTCCGTCGGGTTTTTATTTTAATTTTAATTTTAACAAAGGTACGGACACACCACCTATCACTACCTCGGTGCTATGCACCTACCTAGTGAAGGACGCCAACGCAACGCAGGAAACGGCAAGTCAGGGCGCCCCCAGCCGTGGCGCGCTGACGGCGATCGAGGGAGGTGCGACAGGGGGGAGGAAGGAAGCAGCGGCCAGTCAGAGGCCACGGACGGGTGCTGGGGAACCGGTGACGACGCCGAAAATTCATAACTCGGCCATGTCTGTGTGGGGGAGAACGCGAGAGGGACGCGTTTTGTGTGTGTTGTGTTATACAGGCAGGCTACGGAGTACATACATGTTATTCAGCTGCCCCAGGGATTAGCGGCATTGGTGCTATTGCTTCCGAGGATTATGGATGCTGGGCGAGGGGCTAGGCGGCATTGATGGATGGCTCAACAAGATGCACTCATGCCCACGACCTACTTTTCTCCCTTCTTGTTCCTTTTTTCCTTCCCTTCTCTCGACCACAAGTTTGTCATCACAACCCGGCGGTCCACTGGCATCCCCTGCTTGTCCTGCTCTCTGGCATTCAGGCGAAGCGAAAAGAAGCCTAGAAGCCCACCGGACAGCGGGGACTAGACCGTGAGCGGCATGACGGGACCGCCACTGAGCCAAAATGATCGAGCAGACTATGGCAACCTTCGAGGGCGGTGAGATCATGTCGTAATTAATGCGAACAGAGGAATATAGGCCACTTTCCAATGGATGTTGGCACGAACCATTGAACAGTTGAACAATCGATGGTGTTGTTTCCGACAGCTGACATTGACTGCTATTTTTGCTCCCGTAGCTGCAGCTTGTTGTCCGGTAAAGCCGCGGCTTTCAATGTCAACAAAACACCCCCAATGTCAACAACCGATGCGCCCAACCTTTTTCAACGCGACATGGGACGATGCACAGTGGAGAGGGGCAAGAAAACAGGCGTCAGACCGCGTTTCCATCACGAAGCAAAGGACAATTGACCGCTGTCCTAGGACGGAGGTGATGGAGTGAGGGATGCCACGAAAAGGGGCCTGAAAAGTAAAATTAAAAAGAAGGAGAGAAAAAAAAAAAAGACTAGAGGAAGCCATCATGCAATTTTGCTCGCACGAAATGCCCAAGTCATGCAAAACGGCATGAAGCCGTTTAATAGCACCCGCAAGATTTGCACGCCAAACATACGGGACACTCCCGGCTGGCCTGACGACGTGTCCCTGGCCCGCTACTTTTTGTCCCCAAGCCCTTGGGTTCTAGGTAGGTACCTGCCTAGGAAGAACGCAGTTCAAGTAAACACAACGGTACCTATCTACTTATGTAAGACAGCATGCCTTGATACATTAGGTAAGCACACGACCGCGGGGCTGCCTGCGGTCCTCGGCTTCCTCTCCTATCGCCCTTCCTGCGCGGTCCCTTATCGTAGATGACTCCGGACCGATGGTGATCCGTTTCATTGAATGACTAAGGTGCTTGAAACACTGGCGTTCGTTGTGATTGGCTCGGCGGTCCCCTGGGTTTAGGTTTGGCAGATACTGTACGGAGTACGTACCAATAACCTATCAAAATTCCCCAGAGCTCTCCAAAGTCGCCTGTTCTGACCTCATTATCTCCCATCCCACCTTCAACAAACCGGCATACCTCCACGCCCTCACGACCGCAACAATGGCCTCAATTGCTCGCAGCATGAGGGCAGTCCGCCCCTCCGCTCTCTCCCAGATCGCAAAGGCCGCCCCCCGTGCTGCTTTCCCCCGTCCCGCGCAGCGCGCCTTCTCTACAACCCCCATGAGTGAGCTCCGGTCCATCTCGGCTACCCTCCCGAAGCACCAAGACTGACCCTCGGATCTCCTCCGAACCACTCTTCAGGCTTAATACGCAAGTACACAAAGGACCACGAGTGGGTTGACCTCAACGCCGACAAGAAGACGGGCGTCGTTGGCATTTCCGAGTACGCTGCCGAGCAGCTGGGCGACGTCGTCTACGTCGAGCTGCCCGAGGAGGGCGCCCAGGTCGCCCAGGGCGACGCCATCGGTGCCGTCGAATCCGTCAAGAGCGCCGCCGACATCAACGCCCCCATCAGCTGCAAGGTCACCCAGGTCAACGCCGGCCTCGAGGAGAAGCCCAGCACCATCAACAAGGTCCCCGAGGACGACTCCCACGGCGGCGGCTGGATTGCAAAGATCGAGGTCGACGAGGCCGGTGTCCAGGAGCTCGATGCTCTCATGAGCGAGGAGGAGTACAAGGCTTTCACTGCCTCCGACGACCACTAGATTGGGAAAGAGGCGAGGAACGGCACGGCAAAAAGAGACACAGAGAGGGAGGGAGAGGGAGAGCTTAGAATATGGCCTGCATACGGCGGCAGGGCTTACACCAGGCCAAATTTTACTCAGGGTTGCGGTTCAAATCACATAGATCAATGAGATGATGGTGACCAAGCCCCATTCAGGGCGAGAGTCTATTCCGGCATCACTATTGCCAATGCCTTCATGATGAGAGGATAGTCGCTTCCGTCGCCGTCTGGTTGCCCGGCCGTACCTGGTTGATGTCGTCGAGGATCTGCTGTGCGCCTCCGTCCACGAGGTCCTGTGCCACAACCTTGCCGAAGTCGTCGGCCTCCTCCGCGGTGGTGATGACCTCGACCCTCTCCGCGTCCACCCCGCGCGTGCCGTCGGCGTGCACCACCGTCGCCTTGAGCCGCAACTTCTTGCCGTCCTCGACCCAGGTCGTCTCAACGCCTATGGGTACGCTGCATCCTCCCTCGAGCGTGCGCATGACGCTCCGCTCCGCGACGCATGCCAGCATCGAAGGCTTGTCCTCGAGCTCCTTTATCACGGCGAGCACCCGCTCGTCGCCCGTCCGCGCCTCGATGCCCAAGGCTCCCTGTCCGACAGCGTGCAGGGTGCCGCTGTTCTCCGAGTCAAGGAACTGCGAGATGCGCGCGCCGTAGTCCATGCGCAGCAGGCCGGCGGCCGCGAGGATGATGGCCGAGAAGGGGCCCTCGGCATCATCGCACTTTCGGAGGCGCGTCTCGATGTTCCCGCGCACGTCGGCGAACTTCAGGCCCGGGTAGCGGCGCTTCAGCTGTGCGATGCGGCGCACGCTGCTGGTGCCGATGACGCTGCCCTCGGGCAGGTCTGCGAGGGTCTTCCAGCCGTGCTTCTCGGCGAGGCCGGCCTTGAAGACGACGACGTCGCGCGGGTCCTCGCGCTTGGTCACGCATCCGAGGGTGCAGCCGTCTGGGAGGGTGGTCGGCATATCCTTGAGGGAGTGGACGATGATGTCGAGTTCCTTAGCCGCGAGCTTGGCCTCGAGCTCCGACGTCCACAGGCCCTTGCCACCAAAGTTGTACAGCGCCGTGATCTGGTCCTTGTCGCCCAGGGTCTGCATGCCGTGGATCTCAAATGACACATCAGGCCGCGCCTCGGAGAGGCCCTCGACGACGATCTCGGCTTGCTTCAATGCCAGCGCCGACTTGCGCGTGCCGACATGGATGACGCCGCTTTCGGCGGTGGACGGAACGGCGGCCATTGTTGGTGAGGTGGGTGACGGGTATGTCGTATGAACGCACTCGACAGCAGTTTGTTTGATTCGGCCGAGGTCAATCAATCGCACCCGGTTTGTTGTCTGCCGTGCGGTGCGTCGAGGGGGTTGTACGAATTTTGGGCCGGGAATGGCGGGGATGGAGGGGTAGTAGCACAGGTAAGTACGGAGTAGGTAGGTTATACCTGCACTGTCAAGAGACTGTGAACAGCACTGTGCATGTCAGAGTTTCAGGGTCCACACCGCACCCCATCTACGAGCTCTTAGCTGCATCTTCAAGCCGAAGTTTGCGGTAACATCGTCCTCAATCGTGTCCTGGCTCATGCTCCTAATCTTCTAGAGGTATTCGTGGGCGAGTCAAAGCGCACATGCATTCGACTGCGATGGGTACTCGGCTTCGGCCTTGCGGGGCGACTTCGGCTTCGGGTCTCGCTAACCTGCTTTCTAGTCACCTGGCCGGACCTCTCTTTCACTTACATCACAGCTGGAGTCGGAATGGTGTATCAGAGCATCCGGCATGGCGAAGAGCAAACAATGTCTGACGTGTCAAGACACGGGATACGCCACGACAGACGTGAAATAATCCTATTCTCCTAATCCCCTTGAGACAGCGGGACGAGGGTCAAGTGCCTAAGGTTCAACGCTCAGGGGAAGGTCTCACGGATGCTCAAGTGCGAGGGCACCACGCTACACCAGTCTCGGTGTCATTGAGATGGCAGTCCGTTGCCTTGGACCCTGACGTGGCTAGCATGCTCTTCCACCTTCGTCAAGTCCCGTTGCACCCGCATCATGGACCGGTTACTTTATGGTCTTCGAGGTCGGACTTGGACAAGCGTCGGGGGACCGATGACGCTGTATCGCGTAGCTCTCGAGTTGCGTGACGAGCATGGTCTTGCACAGTGATGGCACGTACATTCTCAGGACAATCCGATATGCTACTCTGGAGATGCCCCGCGAACCAGCATGATGCATACATGCTCATGTTGTTGCGGACTTGGGTGGTTCGAGAAGAGACTGTGAAAGTAGCAAGAACAACCGGAGACATATCACCTTCGAGGTCGCGAGCATATCAACTACGTCCCACCTTCACACTCTGCCCCCGTTCCGCTTAGTACGACTCTCCCTACGGGTGGAACAGACGACGTGGATGCGACCTCATGTCGAGCCCTCGAAGACATCATTCGACGATCAACTGGGCTCTGCAACTCAAAACAAGATATTGCCCGCGAAATCTGTGCATACCGTTCACAAGGTATAAAGACGTCCAACGCGCCGTGCCCTTCCACGGATCACGCCATTCTTGTCCTCATCCTCAACTTCTAGATCACACAGCAATCCATCCACCATACTTCAAACCCTACGACAATTGACCTTCTCGCAACCATGAAGTACACCTTCTTCACTCTTATCACCCTCCTAGCATGGGCCTTTGCGGCGCCCCAGGACCCCCAAGTACCCCTTTCAACCTCCGTCATGACCCTTATTGTGACCGGCCCACCGGCCCCAGTGTCCACGGAGCCCATCTCGAACAACCCTGACCCCCTCCCCGCGCCCGTCTCGTCTGTACCGATCCCCTCCGACCCATCTCAGCCCGCGCCCCCTTCCGGTGGTCCTCACTGCGTCTGCGGCGCGACCTACTGCGGCAAGATCCTTGTTCGCTTCCAAGGTATGTGGCCCGGGATCATGACCCGCCATCATTCATAGCCCGGCGAGAAGCATACCTCTGACACCAGACCAGGCTACACAACAGAGCAAGTCGGGCAAGGCTACTGCTCGACGAACGGCACGAACTGCGCCTCCGCCGCTCCGGCCCCGGAGTCTCTCCAGAACGCCCTGTTCGTCTGCATCTGCCCGGCGGGCCAGAAAGAGGGCTCGACCATCGAGCTCATTTGCCCTTGCCAAGGCGTCTGCAAGAACGATGAGCCCGACTTTATCGCCCGCTGCGAAAGCGCCTGTGGTCTCGGGTGCGCTCCCACGGCCCCGGCTCCGTCTTCGTTTCCTGTCCCAGTTCCGCTCCCCGTTCCCATATCGGTCGAGCCTGCTCCCGTCCAGAGCCAGCCCATCCCGTCTGCCGCGCTTCTTGCAAAGAAACGGGCATAACGGCTTGCCTGGTCTGGGGACTTGACACCGTTTCCGTTCTTCATGTTGCTACTTCTTGTTGCGGGACGATGGGAGTTGAGATGGATGTTTCGGTCGGTTCCCCATGAAGGGTCCGACTTCCACGCTCTTTATACGATTGATGAGCATGACGAAAGGGTACATCTTTGGAACATGTGCCGTCCATTGGGCAGACCACACACTCTCTAGGGTTAGATACCAGCAGTCTTTCATTGACTTTTGCTTGCCACTACCTGTGCGATACGTGCGAGCGGCGGCCCATGTTTGCATCAAAAAGCCCAAGCGCGAGGGTCGATCAAATGCCCGTTGATTGCTGTACAATACAAACTCCAACCAGTAACTAACTCACTATTCGGTATGTACGACACTCAAAATACCAGACACGCATTCTTAGCTTTGGAAAGAAGGAGAAGAAGAAGAAGAAGAAGAAGAAGTAGGAAGCTATCCTACTAGAGAGCTCTCTGTAGATGCAGCGCTTCTGAAGATGCTTCCCGAGTCAAGATTTTCCCCACCGATATGGTGCTCTTTGACGTTGCGCAAAGGAGATCTCTCTAGAATCTATGTTGCTCGGGCTTCGACGGCTGCTTTGATCGCTGCGAGGGAGTCAGCGAGGGGAGGATTTTCTCTGACGGATAATGTGAAGGGGGATACACACCGTCGCAAGTCACTTTGGCGTCTCCAAACAGCATGCGCGTTCCGGGCATGTAGAACATAGGGTTCGGTACGTCGGCTGCCTTGGTCAGCATGTTACATCGCACACACCTCGCTCGGCGAGCACTCACCATAGCCGCTGGCCATGCCTCTCTTCATCACAATGACCTGTTTGCTCTTCCAAGCCTGTAGCACCGGCATGCCCGCAATCGGGCTGCCCGGCTCCAGCGCGATGGGGTTGACGGTGTCGTTGGCGCCAATGACCAGCGTGACGTCCGTCTCTGCAAAGTCGTCGTTGATCTCGTCCATCTCCAGGACGATATCGTACGGCACGCTCGCTTCGGCCAGGAGCACGTTGCACTGCCCGGGCATGCGACCGGCCACGGGGTGGATCGCGAAGCGGACGTTGATGCCCTTGGCGCGAAGCATGGCCGTGATCTCGCTGATGGCGTATTGCGCCTTGGCGACGGCCATGCCGTAGCCAACGACGATGATGACGTTCTCGGCGTTGACGAGCGCCTCAGCCGTGTCCTCCACGTTGGTCTGCGTCACGGCGCCCTCCATCTTGTAGTCCGTCTGCGCCGGCGCCGATATGCCGCCGAAGAGGACGTTCGTAAGCGAACGGTTCATCGCCACGCACATGATGTACGAGAGGATGGAGCCCGACACGCCAATGAGCGCGCCAACCGTGGTGAGAAGCGGGTTGTCCAGCATGAAGCCCTCGGCTACGAGCGCGAAGCCCGAGTAGGCGTTGAGCACGGTTATGACAACGGGCATGTCTGCGCCACCGATGGCCGCCGTCGTGGTGAACCCCTTGGCGAAGGAAAGGATCGTATTAGCGGAGAGGGCAGCCGCGGCGATCATGGGCGAGCCAGGGGCCATGGTCACGAAGGCGCCCATCGTGGCCATGTTGGCCGTCAACATACCCGTATTGATGAGGTGCTTGCCCGGGAGTGCGATCGGGCGAGACGACATCCGTCCCGCGAGCTTAAGGAAGGCAACGATGGAGCCCGTGAAGGTGATGCCACCGATAAGGACGCCCAGGTAGCCCGTGACCAGGTGCAGCGTCGAGATGTCGTCGATGTGTGCCATGACGCTTCCGATGGAAGTCAAGACGGCCGCCAGACCGACGACTGAGTGGAGCGCCGCAACGGTCTGTGGAAGATCTGTGGGAGTGATGCGTTTTCCAATCAGTATACCGGCGATGCTACCCAGCGCCGCAAGGCCGCCAAACTGCGTGAGCACCTCCGGAGAGAATCCGACGGCTAGCAGAGAAGCCAGCACGCCGGAACCTACTCCGAGCATGCCAAGCATGTTGCCCATGCGGGCTGTCGCTTGCGAAGCCAGACTAGAGAGGGAACTGATACACAACACGGAGCTGACAGCGTAACCGGCTTGGACGAGACCCGCGGCCCCCGTAGCGGCTGCGGCGATGTAGCCTCCACCAAAGAGGGCCGCCGGGATGGCATACAGCCACGGATATTCTGGCGGGTCGGTCGGTCGCTTGAACATGTCCAGCATACGCTTTGTGATGACGAAGCCGCCAGACACGTTCACGAAAGCAAGGAGGACGGAAGCTGCGCCGAGAGCCTGAGGGATGGTTTGTGGGATGTAGCCGCCGCCCAGAATGAAGAGACCGCCGATTCCGACCATGCCTGGGCCATGTTAGTCTCCAGCCACGAAAACTTCAGGCCGCCAAACATACCTGAGATGGCGTTGGTGACACTCATGAGAGGTGAATGAAGGGCTGGCGTCACTCCCCACACCACCCTGTATCCGATCAAAGAGGCTAGGGCGAAGGTGAAGGCATTGCTCATGAACAGGGGGCTGGTCATCTTGCCCAAAACAAGAGCGGCTCCCATTCCCGCCGTCACGGTCGTGACTTCGCGGGACGTCTTCTGGAAAGGGGTCAGGGCCACGACCTCGGCTTCTTTCGTCACGGGCGGTGCTTGAGCCGGTGCTGGCGGCGGGGCTTTCCGGGGAGGCGGGGGAATGACATCGCCCTTCAAGGTGACAATGGCGCCTCGCACGACCTCGTCGTCGAGGTCAATGCCGAACTGCTTCTCCTTGGGTGTCATGGAGAGGAGGAATTTGGTGACGTTGTTGGAGTACAGGGTTGAGGATTGCGTAGGGAGCCTTGAAGGGAGGTCGGTATAGCCTGGGAGACCGTAAGCCGGAATTTTTGCAAGCTTCCTATCGCGACTTACCAATGATCTTAACGCCCTTGTAAGTGTAGAGCTCTCCAGGCTTCGTCTTTTCGCAGTTGCCGCCGGCCTCAGCCGCGAGGTCCACCACGACGGAGCCAGGCTTCATGACCTCAAGCATAGACTTGGTGATGAGTCTCGGGGCGGGCTTTCCGGGGATCAAGGCGGTGGTGATGATTATGTCTACCTCGCGCGCTTGCTCGTAGAAGAGCTTCATCTCGGCCTCAATGAACTCTTTGGACATCTCCTTGGCGTATCCACCAGCACCAGAGCCGTCTTCCTTCATGTCGACCTCGACGAACTCGGCGCCAAGGGACTGTACCTGTTCACGAACTGCCGGGCGCGTGTCAAAGCCTCGCACGATGGCCCCAAGTCTCCTCGCAGTCGCAATCGCACTGAGACCGGCGACACCGGCGCCGATGACGAGCACTTTGCAAGGCGGGATCTTGCCAGCGGCTGTCACCTGGCCGGTCAGAAATCTGCCAAAGTTGTTGGAAGCCTCGAGGACTGCCTTGTAGCCTGCAATGTTGGCCATTGAGCTTAGCGCGTCAAAGACCTGGGCGCGGGAGATCCGAGGGATAAGGTCCATGGCAAAAGAGGTCGCCTTCTGCGCTGCAAGCTTCTCAACCAGCGCTTTGTTCTGGGCGGGCTGCAAGAAGGATATAATGGTCTGGTTCTCCCTCATGAGCTCAATTTCAGAGGGGATCGGGCTGCGGACCTTGAGCACCACGTCGGAGCCGGACCAGACCTGAGCTGCGGTGTCAACGAGTGTCGCGCCGGCCTGATCGTAGGCCTCGTCGGGGAAGTCAGCCTGGGCGCCGGCGCTGCGCTCAACCAAGACCTTGGAGAAGCCCTTTTTTAGGAGGAGGGCCACGTTCTGAGGGGTTAACGAGACACGTCGCTCGTTTGAAAAGATCTCCTTGGGCACGCCGACAGTGAGCTGGGAGTACGGCACGGAAGGCGGTCCTACGACGGTGGAGTACGCCGCTGTAGCTACAGTGCCTGGGCTAGAGGCAACCGGAGCGTGCCGGACGAGCTGCAGAGGGCGAGAGACGGCCAGCACGAGAGCCTTGGTCTGGCGCCCTCGCGCATGGCTGGAATGCCATTTGCGCTGGGCGTCAACGACAAGAACTGTCGGCGCGGCATCTAGTGTGGGACATCAGCATCGTAAGGAGTTTGATTGCGATTTCGTTCCACGGCGTGCCAGACATTCGACTCACCTAGGCTGTTCGGCCACGCACGAGGAACGAGCAGGGCAGATGCGCGAGAGGAACATAGGCTGTAGACCAGAGCTGGCCGCAGGGCGCAGAGGTTCACCATCGTGGCGGGGCTCCGAGCATCCAGGCTAACGGGGCCGCCGGGAGGACGAAGCGGAAGGGCGGCGGTATCTCATCGGCTCTCAGCTACTGCCAGGAGGCGGGAGGTATGGATTTTCAGAGACTCGAGTGTTATTATCGATTGTGATTAAAAAGCGACAAATGGCGGTGCTAAGAAGGAGAAACCACAAAGAAAGGAGAAGAGAGAAGAAGGGAGGAAGAGAGTTCGGATTGAGTTTGAGACCGACGGCTGTGTGCTGTGTCACATTCTCTGGCCGCGTCTTGCTCCATCCTCCTCCTCCCCCTCCTCCTCCTCCTTGGTCTCTCCCACACCACATTCAGTATGTTCCCCGGACGGGAAGTGCAGAATCGGCTCGAGCCAAGCGTGTTGCAGATGTCGCAACAAGAGCTCCGAACCCGTCCAATCATTATGCGACCCGAGCGTGCTTGGGTAGGCGCCAAGGGATCCCCCGCCCGAAGCTCCTTCTGCCTGATTTCTCCCCTCATGTGGAATAGCCGGGTACGAGCACGGTGCGGTACCTCGGCGAGCGCATGCGTGACAAACAGTTGGAGGAAACAAAAATAGGGAAAGAGGTGCGTCGCAGACGTTGGATGGTGGTGTGATGGCGCCAGCTTTGGACGGATGGGGTGTGGTGTGAGGTGTTGGTGGAGGTGGCTTGTTGCATGCTTCCGTGCAGGGAAGAAGCTGCGGGCAGGTGTTCTTGCCCCTCTCTTCTCCAGTCCTTCGAGTGTGGGGTATGTACAGTATGGGGTTGTGGACGCTAAATACGACGCTTGCCCCTCCCTCTACCGGTATCTCTCCCGGCTGTTCTACCCATCGCCTCCGGGGAGGGCGGGGGGCGGTAGAACTGTGAGAATGTTGGTCTTTCACAGTCGTTGAGAGTGCAGTAACCAAGAGCCCGCTGAACGACCCACGGAGGCTAGAGATCTGGATGGACAACTCTTTCCATAATTTGTCGTTGTTCAAATGTCAAAATATCCCACTTAGTGACGGACTCGTCACGTTCTCGTGGCAAGCAGTCCGCATATCCGTCGGCCGCATGCATGTACGCACAGAAAAGGGAAAAAGCAAACATGCATCGGGTAGCTCGGGGTAGATGAGCATTAGCAATATCGATGCGGTAGACGAATGGCCAATGGGGATTGATAGATCAACAGGAGGACGTGGACAGACTTTGCCTAAAATGGTGTCGATTGATTGGGCGCAATGCAACAAACAACACTCGAGTGCATAGGTAACTTGGCTTTGCATAGCTTGAATTGGGTTCTATTCAGGCATCTCGCCTGACGTTCGCTGGCACGCCTCATCCGAAACTTTCTCTCGAATGAACCCTCTGCCTCTCTTTTAGCTAGGTATTCGATTGGGGCGCGCCTGGAACCTGGAACCTTTCGTCATGTGCCGACTTGATGGGCGCCCTAGGTGCTTCCAATTGGTGCTCAGCGGATTCACAACAGAAATAAGTCGCCATCCTTGACAAGTCACATTATCTGCAGGTTAATGTAAAACCAATCCTTTAGCTATGACGCGTTCCCCATCACGTCGCCTGGCAAGGGGACGCCGGCCCGGCGGGGTTCATTCCCTCCTCACCGCCACCGCCGCCCGCTGCCCACAGGTAGTTGCTCCGATCCGCCCGGCCCCACGTCGGACGGCGGCCCCGCCGACGGGAATCCAGGTGCTGCAAGGTACCTATCCATCTTCTAGCTGGCCTGTGGCTCCTCCACCTGCTGTGCGTATCTCAACGATCTCAACGTAACGATATGCGACGTTATAGAGGATCAGGAAGAGCCGATGGAGCCTTGCTGATGCCTCGGTGAACTCGTTGACACCCGACACCCTGGATCGATGCGACGAAGCTTTGTAAGCGGCCCAGGTCTGCAGCGTCGCTGGCTTACAGGACTTGGCAGGATGTCACGACGAAAGCAGCGAAAGGTGCGAAGAGAATGATCCTGAGCCCGTTAGTTGCCGTCGGTCTTCTCACTGGGCAGGTAGACATCGAGGTCAGAGAAAGGGTACAGTACATGTATACTTGGTATTGGGGAGTAATGAGGATTTGAGTTTTGAGTTCTGGCATGTTCTTACACTTGATACTGGCATGTTGCAGTCGTTCGCAGGGTGTCTCCCTGCCACGGCGGATCTGGGGCAACAATATCAGCCCTACACGGCCAAGCCCCCAACACTCTACACCGGGATGATGTGTAGATGGGATGCGTCGTCCTATATCTTGCGTGCACAACAGGCATCACACCGCACAACTGTTAATATTGACGAACTCAACCCTAGATATCCGGTGCGGGTGACTTGCCGCTCGTTTGGGCGAGATGCCAGTCTGACGAGGCACAAAAGAAGTCGTGCGATTGCCAAGACGAGCGCCGGGGGCTGGTATAGTCGGGCCCCGGGGCAAACAGAATGGGAAGAACAGGTGGAACAGGCGGGACAATCCAGAGCTCGAGAACAACGGGCGGCGGAGCGCTCGGGGTCCGCGCTCGAAGCGCTTTTCACAGAGTGGGCTCTACGCCAAGACAGTCGACCTTCTATAGTCGTTTCCCCGAAACAATTTTGTTGTCAGCAGTTGGATCTGATGGCCTGGATTAAAAAGGAGAAGATCAACGTTATGGGGACGATGGACATTGATGAAACAATCTTGACCCATTTGAATGATTAACTTACAAGGCCGGACAGGGATGCTTTTTGCAATTACAGTACTCCGTACGCAGTATAGGTTATAGGTTATAGGTTATAGGTAGGTAGGCAGGCAGACGATAAGCTTCAAGGGTCCAACAGGCCGCTGTACATACTTCGTACACTGCATTGCGAAACACTACCTACATTGTGAAGGAGTAAAGTCAAGACCCCCGGACTCGTCTGATACTAGCGTAGTCACATCGATTCTAGAAAGGTGACTCGTCGTTATCCAGAAAAACTAGCTGTTTCGTCCAAGTCCCAATTGCGGCTGCTTGGCGCTACTGTATAAGATACTGCGTAGTTTATTCAAGCATACCTAGCCCAATTCGACTGTCAAGTGCCTGTGGCGGCATGTGAAGATCAATCGGACGTTTACACTCTGCTACAGCCCTGCCCCTCATTAATTAGCTACCGAACTGTCTGTGACGTCCTTCTGTGGAGAGTAAGGACGGCGACGATGAACCGAGAGACAGTGCTGCTCACGTCGGATCCTCCCGTCGTACTGTTCGCTCGACTACTAAGTTGCAGAGACGGGCGACAAAGGCGGTGACTCTGAACAAGGCCCGAAGCTATTTGGGAGATAGCCTCACATTATGGCCTGGGTTTTGATGAGAGGCAACGGCGGGGGTCCACCTCTGCATGGCTGGCGTTGCTAGTTTGTGAGGGGGCGTTATGTACGATGCATGTCTTGGTAGCAGGCGCCACTACAACTCTGGAGCCTCCCGTAACTCCCGCGTCCCGAAAGCACCGCTCTCCGCATGTAGAGAGACCGGCCAAAGCGCCCGCGGGCCCCGGTGGTTGCCTTTCAAGGTGGACTCGACCAATCAGCTTCGAAGCTTGGTTGACGTTTTTGGTCTATGACGGCGGTTCGCGGGAGGAAGCCGACCGTGCTTCATTTCATCTTTCTTCATTGACAACGTTCAGTCGACCACTTCGCAAAAGCGTCACAGGCGCGGCGGAACCCATTCAAACGTCGGCCGCAAAGATGCACGTCATCCTTGGCACCGCATCTGGGTCCTTGAACCTGGCTTTCGTGTGTTTGTCTTGTGGCAGGCAAGCCAGGTTTCTTTCTGGTATAAGGGTTTATTAGTCGGGCTGCTCCATCTCATCTCAGCTTCCAAAAAAAAAAAAAAAATGTTCCGGGAACCTTGACATTGAGGCTCTCTAATTCTCTCTTTCCCCCCCAACAACAACAACATCATCCGCCCGCAACGATGGGGGTTGAACCCGAGAAGAAAGAGCAAGCTCCGTCGAAGGACACTCTTGCCTCGACGAGCTCGCCGGACGAGGCCGTCGAATATGAGGGGGGCGCATTCAAGGCCTACTTGGTATGCTTTTAAACACATTATACTACACATACCCACGACTTCCCCTTTCTGCTACAGATGCGCTAACCACTGACGGCTGCAGCGTATCTTCACGTTCGGGGGACCATTTGAAAAGACTCTACAGGTCGTTGCGCTGACTTGTGCCGTGGCCTCTGGTACCGCTATGGCCCTCCAAACCGTAATCTTCGGCACCTTCGTCACCACCATCCAAGACTTCACCACGGGTCAGTCCTCGCCTGCTCACTTCCGCGGTGAATCCGCAAAGCTCGCGTAAGTTTGTTGCTCGTCCTATCAAACATCTCACGCTTACAAGCCAAGCCTCTACTTCCTCTACCTGGGCATCGGCAGATTCGTCCTTTCCTATTTCTACATCTCTCTGACGACGCTCTCTGCTTATCGAATCACGAGGAATATCCGCCACAGCTACCTGCGCGCTGCGCTCCGACAGGAGATCGCTTTTTACGACATTGGCTCTGGTGGCTCTATCGCGACCCAAGCCATCTCCAACGGACGCCTGATTCAAGTTGGAATAGCCGAGAAGCTTGCCCTGACGTTCCAGGGGCTGTCCGCCTTCGTCACCGCCTTCATCATCGCCTTCGTTACGCAATGGAAACTCACCCTCATCGTCTGCTGCGTCGCGCCATTGATTCTAATCGTCACTGGTGTGGTGTCCGCGATCGAGGCCGCCATTGAGACCAAGATACTCAACATCTATGCGCAGGCCGGGTCCTTTGCCGAGGGCATTCTTTCAAGTGCCCGCACCGTCCACGCCTTCGAGATCCGGATGAGGCTGGTCCAGAAATTCGACAGGTTTCTCGAGGATGCTCATCATCTAGGAAACAAGAAATCTCCCCTTTTCGGCATCCTCTTCTCCGTCGAGTACTTCATCATCTACGCCGGCTTCGCCCTGGCTTTCTGGCAGGGCATTCACATGCTGGACCGTGGCGAGATTACAGATTCTGGAGACATCTTTACGTATGTCTTCTTTGCCGTCGTTCCAGGTCCTGGCTAATTTTCTCAGCGTCCTCTTGTCAGTGGTCATTGGTGCTACCAGTCTGACCATGTTAGCACCATACTTTATCGAGTTCACGCGCGCTGCGTCGGCCGCCGCTCAGCTCTTCAAGCTCCTTGACCGAAAATCCGAGATTGATGCCTTCGACAAGTCTGGCGAGAAGCCCACAGAGACCGCCGGTGTTATTGACTTGGAGAACATCACCTTCGAGTATCCCACCCGTCCTGGCGTTACAGTGCTGAATAACTACTCCCTACATGTGCCTGCGGGCAAGGTGACGGCGCTCGTGGTAGGTTTGTTCGAGTAGCAGCTTAGTTCAATTCGTCTGACAGTTTCCAGGGGACCAGTGGCTCTGGCAAGAGCACAATTATTGGCCTGATCGAGCGATGGTACAACCCCAAAGCCGGTTCCATCAAGCTTGACGGCGTGCCCATCGAGAAACTCAATCTCAACTGGCTGAGAAAGAATGTCCGCCTGGTTCAGCAGGTACGTGTGATTGACTTGGTGGCACTCAGCCGTGCTGACTTCCCTTCTCCAGGAACCCGTCCTGTTTCAGGGAACTGTGTTTGACAATATTGCCAACGGGCTGGTTGGGACCCCATGGGAGAATGCGCCTCGTGAGGAGCAGCTGCGGCGTGTGCAAGAAGCCGCCAAGATTGCGTTCGCTCACGACTTTGTCTCGCAACTCCCCGAGGGCTACGAAACCATGATTGGTGAACGCGGAGGTCTCTTGTCAGGTGGGCAGAAACAGCGTGTTGCCATCGCTCGCAGTATCGTTTCAGAACCGAAAGTGCTCCTCCTGGATGAAGCCACCAGTGCACTGGACCCCCATGCTGAAGGGGTAGTGCAACAGGCTCTGGACAAGGCATCTGAAGGTCGTACGACGATCGTTATCGCCCACAAGCTCGCGACAATCCGTAGGGCAGACAACATCGTGGTTATGAGCAAGGGCGCCATCCTCGAGCAGGGTACCCACGATGGATTGCTTCAGCGGGATGGGGCCTACACTCGCCTTGTGAAGGCGCAGAACTTGCATGTCTCCGACGAAGGGTCGATCACCGAGACCGAAGATGAGGGGGAAACCGCTCCGAAAGGGCACATTGAACTTACCAAGACCATGAGCCGCTATCGAACCACAGATCAAGAA